AGCATTAGATCAAGGAAAGCAAGTGGAGATGCGCAACGAGTGCGGAGCTGCTTTTTCCACGAGAAGAGGATTGACAATACACTTGAACTCCAAGCATCGCGGAACGGTTGATGTTGCTAGGACTGCAGAACAGGAAAGTCGCACTCCAACTTTGAAGTGTTGCCTTTGTGAAGGCGCTTTCAAAACGCAAGAAGAACTCAGTCAGCACTGTGGTAGGGAACACACCGAAGATTCTGAAAGACCTCAAGATTATACAGTGCATAGGATGTCCTTTTCAAGTTCGGAAGAATACAAGGTCGGCAACCATATTTACGATAGATACTCACAAAAAGTCGTTTATTAAGGAATGGTTTGGAAGAATGTGTGAGGTGCACTGCAGTTCATTTTTCTGCAGGTCGAGTGGAGCGAACCAGAAAGAAACTGTTTATGAGGTCTGATAATTCATACTTTCTAGGTAGATTCCACGAATACGAATATACACACATAAGGCTATAAGTTAGCTATTATGCAGGTGCAACCGTTGTGGTGAAGGCAGATCTCAGGGTGAACAGCGTATTCGTATAACCAAGAAAGTTCATCCTTATTGCTCTGCTTTTGCGAACGTGCATTTCAATGAAGACGATACTGTTTCCGTGGTAGCATGCTTTGGTCACATTGGGCACGACCTCGATCCGGCCCTACTTCGGTGGACTGACGATCAAATAGAGTATCTGAAGCTCATGCTACAAGGTAGATTATAACACCACACAAGGACTTAATAACTGCGAATTTTCTCACCTTTCAGAGTTTTCAACAGATTACATAGTACACAAAATGAGGAAGGATCACGAATCCAAAGACTCTAAGTTGTACTTCATAACAAAAAGAGATCTCTGGAATATTATGGCTAAGTACAACCTAAACCCCGGACAGCGCGATAGAGATGATCTCACATCTCTGAGAATGAGGGAGGAAGAAAGAAATCCCGATGACGGGATACGTTTCTTCAAAATGCCGGACGATCCAACTGGAAAAGGTTTTGTTCTAGGGTAAGTTCCGTTCATCACTAACAATGTATATTTCTGAAAAACCCTTTTATAGTCATCATCACGCCTCTCCAGCAGAAGTGGCTGGAACAGTATGGCCATAGGGGCATCTCGGTCGACGACACTCACAACGTCACCAGATATGCCTTGAAGTTGGCGACTGTAATGGTTGTTGACGAGCGTGACCGGGGCCTACCCGCAGGTACTCAGGGCTTCATCACCTTATATAACCGCAGTACTTTTTATTTAGCTTTCTTGCTGTCGGGTGAGATGACTTCAAGAGAAGTGGCGATACTTTTCGATGAAGTCAAACGGGTGCCCAACTTTGCCCCAAGGTCACTGGTGACAGATGAAGCCTTAGCTTTCTACAATGGCTTCATGCTCTCTTTCCCAAACAAGATGTGGACCATTTCTTGTGCAGGTTTCATATCCTGCAATCCTGGAAACGCAAAACAAAGGAGTGTGTCAAGGTGAAACATGACATTGTGAATCATCTGAGATGTGTTGACATCGTAATTTTAGAAAGACCTACAGAGAAGGCATTATCGGAGCCTTCAGAAATCTGCTTCGTATTGGCGATGAAGCAACTTTTTACGCAAAGCTCACTGAGATTTTGACGCACCTCCGAGTCAAAGGCTGTTCGCGTCTGATTCAGTACCTTCAACGCGAATATCTTGGTAGGAGCAGTGCTGTTGGAAGGACATCTTTGTATTAAGGACCCGAAATCAAGCAATGGGCTGCGTTTGAACGAAGGGGTGTGGTAACTTCGATGTTTGGAGAGAGATGGCACCTTCGAATTAAACAAGAGAAGCTCAAAAGGAAGGCAAATGCAAGAGTAGACTACGTTGCGGATGTCTTGATTAAGGCCGTAGAAGAATTGGCGGTAGAGTTCGAGATAACGGTGAGTACTTCACTCCCGTTTACAGCCGACATTATCTTCTATTACTTACAGGACCGTAGACAGCTCAG